AGTGTGCGTGCTTCACTGATCAGAGAGAATGTGATTTTATGTAATGATATGCAGAGGTGCTATTCTCATCTGGCAGACGGCTGCTGCACTGCAGTATGAAAGTGTTCCTTTCGGCAGAGAGCACGTGTTGCTGCATGGGTTCTTCCAACTCGAATACACCAGAGATAGAGACTAGGTCCGCTGGCACAACTCTACTGCCTTAGAAATTCACACTCTGCTCAATATCCGGATGAACTCTGGCAAGATCTATTCATGAAGTTTTAAAAAAGACCAAAAGTGTAAAAGATTCACAAGTATATTTAAACCTTCCAGACTGTATTTGTGCTTCAGTGCTATAAAGTCTTCTTATTCTACAAATTCTTATTCTCTTATTCTCTTTCCAAAGAATTTGATTTATCAATGAAGAGATACAAAGCTGATCTCAATTTCCTATAGATTATCTCGTTCTTGATGTTTGGAAATAAGAGTTCAGTGTTTCCCGACTGAAAATATCTGATATCTTTTTGCAGTCATACCGGAGCTTTTTCAATAAGCAGAGTCGAAGGTTGGTGTATTATGAGGCAAGACCACTTTTACACAGCAGTATTTGTCATTTATTTAATGATAATACCCCAGAAGGTTAGAACACAGTTTATACACAGTACACTACAAAGTGTTTGTTGTTCCTTGACGAGCGTTAGAGAGAGCGATATGATTCATATTCGGTAAATGTTTGCTTTTTGACAATTTAAACACTGGTGCATTAACAGATAATGAACTTTAGTGTGTAAAGATGAGAAAACACAGGACATATACACATATAAACACACTCCCACATTTTTTACAAGCCACTAAGGAAATTTTGCATCTGGAGCTACAATGTTAATCATTAATCATTACTGATAAAGGAGGTAGAAGCTACAAAACACACTATTCTTTAATTTCAAGGTATTGCCCGTTGCTCATCTTAATTCTTCTGCTGTTGAATTATGTAGATTACAAAGACTGAGCTTGTTTAACCGACTACTCAGTTTCCCAAAAAGCAGCAGAAAGAACAAGGGAGTCAAAATATTTCTTACTGCAATTCAAACGGTAGATTTAAATTTACTGCAGTTATTTTCAAAATAAGCATAGAGTTGCATGCTTTTACTCAATCTACACAAAAATGGGTAAGTCATTATATATTGCATTCTTTTAAAGTTGTAAGAACAGCAACAAAGAGCAAATTTAAAGCAGCAAGGATGTACCAGTCTGTGATACAACATGAAATCAACAGTTAATGTTCATTTTAAATCTTTTTCCACCTGAGGTATAGCAAATTGGTAGCCAGGTGCTATACAGAAGCTGGCAGATACTGCAGTCAAATACATGACTGCTAGATGAGAAAAGCTACAACTCATCACTTTAAGCTTCTCTCGAAGAGGCAGGTCATCCTGTGGTCTTGACACAAGCATGAATCCTCCCAACCCAAATAAAGCCATCCCAAAGCACATCACCTAGTCTGCAGGCAGGTGCACTGAAACAGATACCAAAGCTTAGAGCCACTGAGGCCATTTAGTCTCCTCCCTGACAAAAGAGGTCCCAGAAAAATATTTGAAGTTGAAAGGAAACAGTGCTGTGCAGCAACATAAAGCAAAAGATAAAACAGCATAAAAACATTGCACTTCAGAGGCAACAACGCAGTTTATTACCCATCGCAAAGTCAGAAGACTTTGCATTTATATAGTCTGAATATTTAAACATAACCCTAAGCTGTCTGTCTGAGTCCAGGCAGATAATTGGCATACAGAGAGTAAAATGCATAGCCTAGGGTTTACCCATCCTACACATCTCCATGGTTGGCCTAATGCTTTTTGTCCACACCCTGATACCGGAGTACTCAGTAGCCAGGGGATTGGCTGCCCATGCAGTGCATTGCCTGTCAATTGATCAGGGCCTGACTCCAGCTTAGTGCACCCTCACTGGGAACCTCAAATGAGGCACAACACCAGGGCATTCATCTTCATCAGAGGACCACAGGATAAAGTATCAGGGAATTTTTTCTTTCTCTAGCAGAGATGGGACAATTAAACCACTGAAAACAGATAATTTTTCCTTCTATTTGTAGTGCTTCAAGTGCTATCACTATCACATAATGCCTATGCTGTGTCCATGATGAAACTATATTGCAGACCCTCTCTGCTGACTCAATCTAATTACATGGTGCTTCTGTGCAGTGTTTAAGCCAAGCACATGCACATTTGCAGTATGATCATTTGCATCTTGGATATAACTGTGAAAACTTGATGCCCTCAATTTTTCAGCAAGCTAAATCTTCCATTTCTGCTGCTTCTCAATGATAAATCACCAGTTCACCGAAAACCCGAGTGAACAGGGAACTTGAGGGTTTGACCAATGTCAGAATTGGAGACATTGCTGTGCTACCAGTCAATACCAACAAATAAAACAGCCTGCTCAGATGGAGAATCGTGAATTTATTTTGCCTGATGTAATTCATTAAACTGTTGCTTATGCCCATTTATCATAATCAATCACAGGGCAGTGGAGCCAAAAGAGCAATTTAGAGTGCTACAGAGTTATGCCATTGCTGAGTCCATAATAAATTTGAGGAAGATTATATAAGGCAATATTGAACCTTGGGGTACATTCTCTGTCAGACTGTAATGAATCATTCATTGCTTAAGATCTATATTTTACAAATCAGTGACAGGTGAAAACAGATGAATGAATAAGGTGTGAATGCAAGTTTCAGAGGTTAAGCAAACCAGCTGTTGTGTGAGACACTGATTGTTAAGCACTCAAAATAATAACACTTTTTTTAAACCCACTGAACATTTCAGTTGAATGCATGTACCATAAATGATGAACTAAAACTCTGAGGTCAACTCAACAAACCAAAAACATACTTTTACCATGGTGTTGACAAATTTTGGTAGGTGCTATATAATAGGCAACTTCTTGCTCTGGGCAGACTTTGGATCCCAGCACTATTGATTGTGAGTAACACCAGATGTCAGAGTTGGATGAGAAATGAGGAGTCAGAGGATGGAACTGATGAGTGTGCCACGAGGAGGTTATTTGTCTTTTGGACAGGGAATTGTGTCAAGATTCACAACCCTCAAAATCCATCAGAATCTCACTGTCCAACAGACTATATGTTCATTAAAACAAATGGTGACATTTTCATTTCAAGATGCTGTTAAATGATCCTGTACACTTCAAGATTTTGTTTCTTGAGAAAAGTCTTTAAAACATGGCCATGAAATTTTATAGTCCAACCATTGATCTGGAGCACAAAATAATAACATTTCTATCCATTTTACAATGTGGGTGTAAAATAATGCTTTCCAGGGTAATCTGATCCCAGAATCTGTTCTATTTTTTGGCATAGATCTAATTAGTAAAGGATGTATTTCATAGCCATACAGAGATTTCCCACCCTTGCTGCTACAAAATAGGCAACACTGATCATTTTCAGCTTATTTTCTAGTCAGGCCTGCTGATACCCCACACAACAAATGGCCCACAGTCCCACCAGAGACAAGCTGCAGCTGCTGTGCTGGTGCGTCTTAGATCTTCAGCACTACGGCGATGTTTTGTCCCACATACATGCAGCAGCTTTGTAATTTAAAAAAGGCTTCACAATAAACCCTGCATGTGCTGCAGTGGTAGAAAAGCCTTCCTGTGGGTCTGAATTAGTGTTCTTGGACTTGTACCCAGAGTCCTTGCAGCCAAATCAAGTCAAGAGAAGAATTTTCTTTGCTGCCAAACACCAGCAGAGGGGGATGTGCTCAAGTCAGGAGGAGCAAGTTAATGTGTCAGCTGTGCCGGTTGAAGCCTCACAAGCTTCCTTGCAGCCACACCCTGATATAAGGCCACGTTCTCACAAAGCCACAGTGACGTGTGCAAGGATGTGTAATATTTATCTGAACAAGAGCACTGTTCACAGCCCACTGCACTTGAAATATTTCATATAAGCTACTTTACAACACAGTCAAAATACAGGATGTTTGTTGTCTCAAGATTAAATGCTCAACTTGTGTTTGTAAACATGACAGATGGAAATAGTGACAATTAAATATTGCTTTACATAAATTCCGTGATCATGTCAGATAATAACCGTGAGCATGTTTGGCACTTTGAGATTTAAATGACAGTGGTGTCATAGATTTTCAAAGGATTGTGAAATGAGGTTTTCACATGGCTGTCATTTAGGAAACAAAACTCGAAAACATTCTGCCTCAGTAGAGCTAAGTGAGCAGTGCTAATATTAGAAGGGTTTTTTCATAATAGTAAAAAAAAAAACCAGGTTAAAAATCCCTTCTGCAGGGCTTTATGAAATAGTCTGAGATAAATTATGCACATCCACTGGCTTTTGATATCCATCCCACGGGGCTTTTTTTCTTTTCATTAAAGCTCTATTTTTTCCAACTATGAATCCTTTTTTTCTCAGAGAAAATGACTGGGCAAAATCTTTTAGTTCAAATCAGTGCAAGATTAAATAGCTTACCGTGTGTGCTTTTTTGAGGCTGATGAATGCGCACTGGCTGGGGGCTGTGATATTTTAAACTAGCTTAATTTAGTATGCCAACTTGTTGAAGTGGCACCTTGATCTTCTCACAATGAAAAGACTAACGGGACCTAAAATCAGTCAACTGTACACTGAGCAGGAAGACCACCAAAAGATATTTTAATGTCAGCCAACAACAGGATTATTTCTGGAAAAGGCTATATCAGTGACTTAATTAAGTGGCATAGACAACCATATACTTATAAAATAACTAATTCTCACAAAAAAACACAGTTTTTCTCTTGTTTTTATTGTTTGTATCTTTTTTTTTGTTTTGGGTCATGTCAATAACTTTTCCCCAGCAGTGAAAACAGCAGTCATGTTAGGCCTATTTGTCTAGAAAACGCAGGATTTAGAAGGAAAAAATCCAGACTGTGTCCTCAGTTAAACGTTATCACTAATCCGTAATCTGAAAGTCAGAAAGTCATTCTCAGACACAAACAAACTCATACACAAATTGACAACGTGGCACTTTTACTGCATTATTGTTAATGATTTCTTAATAAAGAATGAGTATCAATAATCCCGGACTTCAATAAATTAATATAGCTCAGTCTCGTATCTCTGATAAAGGAGAATCAAACTCTATGCCGCCTCTACTGTAGCCGAGTCGCATTTACTATCGCAGCTCATATCGTACAGTTTACAGTTTCAGCGCCATGTTCCCATCCCTTGGTAAGAAAAGAAGGGTAATAATAACGATGAGACGCGTAGCTCATCCATATTAGAAGAGTCTTTAATGAACTCGGATCGTCAGAGACACTCCTCCTGCTCCCGGCTCCCTCCGCTCCGCTCCCGTTACCAGACGATGCGCGCGTGAAAATTTGCAGCCCCATCTTTATCAGTATCATCGCCGTGAAGACAAAGAGAAGACCGCAAATGAAGATGTGCTGCACTAGCAGGAGAAGCCCCTCTTAAAATCACCGTTACCGCAGCTGTGCCCGCCCAGAGGCAGACAGAGAACCGGTCCTTGGAGACTCTTTGGGGATGCGCAAAGATGTGAGAGTGAAGAGTGAGATGCATTATGATTGGCCATCCTCATCCTAAAAGCGTCAGGCAAGGAGAGTGATGTTTGCTCCAGCAAAAGAGTCGACGAGGTGGCATCAAACTTGAAGGAGACGTGTTCAGTGTGCACATTCAATGCTTTCACGGCATTAACCGTAAACTTGCATCATTTCCCCAAAGAGGCGGACGCGCTTTCCGTGGTGCTGAAACAGAGACTTGGCTGATCAACTAGTGAACAAGAGGAGGAACCTCTCACTTCGTCACCTGCTTCTGAGCTTCATTGTATTGAGGAGCCGTGGCAAGGTAAGTGCAGTGATGTACAGTGCCTTACAATGTAATGAAGATACGCTGTTTTCATTTATGTCTGTATCACGGCCACACATGAACCAGCGTCCGTTTTTTTAATCGCGTCTTTATCTGTTGCCCCGAGTTTCTGATGCGTACGTTTTATTTTAAAGTTTGGTCCGATTTTACCATAGCAACAAAGTTTCATAATCAATGCGTCTTTAGATTGTTTAGCTTACATTCTCCAGCTGTGGAAACGTATTGCAGTTTGTCTGTCCTTTATGCTTGTCAGTATTAGACACTTTCTAAATTTAATCTGATTTAAATTCTTTCCCCCTTATTGTTGTTTTAAAAGCTCGAGGGACTTCGTTTTCTATATTGCGTTAATTTACCCTTAGGTTCAAGTGCACTAGAGAGTTTACTTACTTCAGAAAGTGTTTAAAAATGATGAAAACATAGCTTTATAACTGCTTGTGCACTTAGTTTTCTGTGCTGTCAGACATTTTCACACATCACTCCTTCTTTGAAACATGTATTATTAGAGTGAGAAAACACAGCATATACTTTACCACTGCAGCATGGGAAACATTGTACTTAGTAATGGCGCTTTCTGTTGGAACAGCAGGAGTTTGTGCTGGTCTTTCATTTTGCTGCTGGTACCTGTACAGTAGTTGTAGTTGTTGTTTGTTTGTTTGTTTCATACCATGACTATGTGCCTCAAAACTCAATTCACATTCAGTGTTTGTAAGGGAAAACTTTAAAAGTTGTGTTGAGGTTTAGAAATTCATACCACTATTATGAGTAGATTACCTTTGTTATATCACGTTAAAATGTGGCTGGACTATAACCAGGAAATAGAAACAAGTGAAAAAAGATTGTGTGCTGTTGTTCAAGTGTCACATTAAGATTGGTGTGTTCACTAGACCATAAAAATAGCCGCTGCTCGCTAACTGGCTTCAGGGCTGTATTTTTGGGTTATGTCACTTTTATAGCACAAAAGAGATTGTTCTAACATAATCATCCCTAACATAACTTTAAGGTTTGTGGTGGCTTTCAAATGCTTGATGTTTCCAGTGCACTGTCCAAAGAAATCTGAATAAACAATATCATATCAGACCAATAAAATGTTGTAAACTGATTGTATAAGAGACTGCATGTTCAAACCATGTGGTCAGTTAAAAGTTTAACATCTGAAAGAGCTTGTAGAGTGTTGTAATTGCAAGAGCTGTGACTTACTTGCTTTAATCAAGTACCTTGTTGGACTGAGAAGGAGCGTGGGTGTCATCAAAGCAGAACAAAGCCTCTTTGAGGTGGAAAAACCTAAGTTGTGATTAATTTCAAAAGGCACGCCTTAATTTCAAAGGCACGTTCTTGTATTTGAGACACTAAGTCAATATCCTACAAAGTCAGAGGACTTTTTGCGGTGTTGAAGGAGACTACTCAGAACTTAAAGCTATGGCTGATAAGCTTTTAAAACTGGATGGCTAGCTAAAAATTTACACACACAGCTTTTTTGTGTTCTGTGGCTCTTTAATAGATAGTTTGTTATTATTTGTATATTTTTACTAGAAGAGCTGTTATCCTCTCTCCCTAACTCTAACATGTCTTTAGAGGTACAAATACAACAGGTGTATTTGTACCTGCAAGGCTGAATGAAGTACTTGACCTCTGTGTCAGAATTTGTTATTCATTCTTCATGCAAAGATTCAGACCCTCCACAAGATAATAAACAGAGTTGTAATTGCCAGTAAGGTTGCTCAGCAGCTTTAATCAATTACTGTGCCGTCTTCCATCGAGAGAGATTGGGAGTGCAGGTGTCATCAAAGCAGAATGAGTCTCTTTTGAGGTGGGAAATGCAAGACTCAATGACTTCACTCAGCTGGGTCACTGGACACACAGCAGAGCTTTGACGCGTACAAATTGTGCTTGAAGGTGCTGCGTTCATCCTGGGAGGCTCAGTGGCTGGCAGAGGACCAGCAGAGCAGGGACATTGCACTCCAGATGGCCAAGAGAGGCCAGAGGAAGAGTGCTGTCCAAGCCCAGCTGGGTGTACGGGAAGCTGGACTGCCGGTGGTGTGTGTACGTGATTGTGGGAGGCAGACGGGATGAGAGAAACAGTAAACGATAGAAAGAAAGAGGGATATACAGTATGTGAGGGTGTGTGTGTATTGAAGGAGTGGTTTGGGAGAGAAAGGGTGAGTGAGAGAGAGCGAGAGAGAGAAACTGAGAGCAAATGGTACAGGCGCCTCTGTGTGTGCTCGCATGCATGGAAGTAGTGATAGGAAAAGTGTGGGTGGAAGAAGAAATGAAAGAGAAGATGAAGGAGCTTGCATGTCTGTGTGCTGGTGCTAGTGTATGTATGCAACTGTGTATTTCTCTAGCTGTGTGTGTGTGTCTGTGTGTGAGTGAGAGTGTTGAAGGGACAGAAGCAGAAAGGGTTGGAGACAGAAAATGAAAGAAAAAAGAAACAGGCACTTGTGTGTATGTGTCGGTGTGTGGGAGGGAGAGAAAATGAAACTGGAAGAAGCAGGCATGTGTGTATCTTTGTGCTTGTGTACGATTGCAGAGAAAGCATTACTCAGTAAAAAAAAAGACAAAAACAAAATAAGAGGAAGAAAAAGGAACACGTGTGTCCCTTGGAAAATGAGAGTATGAAGGGTGAGAGAAACACTGGTTTGATTGGATGCTTGCTTTTGTATTTGCGAGGAGAGTGTTGTACATGGGTGGTCTTAACCCTCTCGAGGCAGGCATTGCCGATTTGCAACAGTTAAAAACTAACAACCTGATTACCCCACATACATATTTTATGATTTTTTTTTTACTCAGAAGTACCACTGCAGGTCTTGGTTGTGAATTAGCAACAAAAAGTTTAATTTGAGCCTGAGAGGGTTAATACTGATGCTAGTATTCACTGATGATACTAAGAGGTGTATGAAGGCTGCGTGGAAAAACAAGTAAAATGGAATTTTACCTCAATTGGAAAAAAGTATCTCAGCATTTCATTCAGCCAGCTCTAACCTCTGACTCTGCGTTTTACCATTTTTCACACACTCGTTCAGCAGCAATGTGACTTTCAGTGTTCTCTGAGTATATGCTTTATGGCAAAAGGCTCCAGGCAGATGACCTCTTTCTCAAAGGTCATAATCTGATATTCACGCCCCACTATGATGGAGAAGATCTGTTGCATGTGTCAGGCTTTTTTTTTTAAATCCTTTTTTCAGCACATTTTACATCTTTGATGTAACACATTCTCCTTCTGAAGTAAAAGCCACCTGAGAATGCGCACAGAGCACATGACGACAAACACACAACGGCTTCACAGAGATAACTTTGCCTCACTGTTTCCATTTGGGAAGCCGCTAGAGAGCAGATGGAGAGAAAGCATGCTCTTTTTATTCTGCCACATCTGCTCCGTGATGGAATGGAGCATGATCTGCACTTTGATCACAATGAATTATTCCTATCCCTGGCTATAAATATGGTCTGTCTACAGCACCCAGTCTCTCTCTCACTTCTTAAACTAGGAATCTGTGCTCGCCTCTGAGTCGCTCTCTCCTTGAGTGTGTCACTGCGGCTCTACTGCAGCTCTGGTTTTCTTCTTTACACTGTGAAGGAACCGAAATCCGTTCCTTCAGCCCAGTTCAGTAAAAGAAGCATTGTGTGCAAAAAGTTCTATATAAGAAACAAATAAAGGGGCTTTGCTCAATCTTCTATTATTCTTCCTTTATTCCATATTTCTCACTTTTGCAAAAAAAAATAAATAAAAAAAATAAAAACATGAAAATGTCAAAACCAATAATTTGTCTCCCCTCTCAATACCCAGGCACGCTGTGAGTCTGTATCACACCCTGAAGAAGGATTTAATCAATATGTTTGCACATTGTGTTCACTCACTGACATTATTGTTGAAGATGTATTGCCAAACATGAAAATAATACAAATATAGCATAACAGCCAGTTTCATAAGTCTGTCCCTTCCTTACCAGACGGAGGTGCCATCCAGTGCAGCAGTGTGGCTCATTAGTGTGCTCTAAATGCTTTCTTAAAATAATGGATGGGATGTGTTAAATTCTCCCAATTATTTCATCTTTGGGCTGAAGGAAGGACAACACAGTGTATAAATGCTCAGTCAACAAGAAGAAAAAGATTTAGTGGCAGGCATTGGATAATATGGCTCAACTGATTACAGCCTGCATATCATATAGCTTTTATCCCTGTTCCATGATTGTGATACCAGCGTTGAAAAGATAAGTTTTAGTCCTGAGATGGACATTACTCTCTTACTTTTAAGACAATTTCAGATTTGAATTAAATATAGTTGGGAAAAATTGGATATACAAATTTACAAAACTGAAAATTATTAAATAGTTATTGAGGCCACAAACTCTTTATGAAAAAGATAGCTGTATGTATGATACACCTAATTTATTTTTCACTCTTTATTTGATCTAAGTGGGAAATTTTGTTCCTCTCCTCACTTATTCTGCTGTGTGTGTGTTTGTGTCACTGTGTGTGCCCCTCCTCACAGACACAGAGTGGAGCAGATGAGACTCAGATGGCAAATGGTTCATAGCGCTTTTCTACTCTATCTGAGCACTCAAAGCGCTTTACACAACTTGCCTCATTCACACAAGCACCTTTTTTTGTATGCTCTTTCTCTCTAACATTCGCACACATTCATACGGGCAACTTGGGGTTAGTATCTTGGCCAGAAATATTTGTCACAAAAGTGACATTCTCATTCACTTTACCAACTCTTTGCATTAAATGACAATTCAGATGCTTCCAAAGAGTATTAGCCATGCTATGTTAGCTTTTCTTCAAGCATTCCACTTCAAACATTTTGACTCTACTTTATAGACTGGGTTGTGGTCAGGATTTATGATTCATGACCTCTTTGAGATACAAAATTGGGAAATAGACCATCAGTCACTGCAAGCAAGCCAAACTGGGATTGATTTTCTGTTAATGTGTAATTTCTGATTTGTAGAGCTGATTATAAGGTCTAGGATGGCATC